GGGTTATGGAGTAGTTTGTTGGAAATAATCTTGATGTGAAATCAAGTTAAGATTTGGCTAAGTAATTTAAAATACTTCCTCCGTCCACCGCCAAGGTATCTGTTTACTTTTTGCACATAGATTTTAATATATTAGTATTATATTGATATGTAGTACAATTGACATGTATAAAGACTATTATACCCTTAACATTTATGCTATTATTTGATCACATTTGTGTAATATTATACGAAGGGTGATGGTATTTTTATATTTAAGTGGAAATACATTTACTAAAAATGGAAACGGATACATTTGTGATGGACAAACAAAAATAGAAAAATTGGTAGATTGACAGAGGGAGTATATTTAATTATATTTGAATAAGAGCATCTCCAACCGACCTCTATTTATGGTGTTTCAACCCTATTTTTGTTCCAACCATACGCCATTTCATGCACTAAATTAGAGTTTGCTAACGCCATTTATTTATTTATTTATTTTATTTTTTAAAGGCAAAACAGCAAAAAAACCCCCTGTGGTTTACCAAATCTGGTGAAAACCCCCCGTGGTCCTAAAACTCCAAAAAACTACTCGTGGTTTGTAAAACGCTGCACACTCGTCCCCCCTTTAAATCACACTGACAATGTTAAATTTTAACCTTATCAGACCGTTATGCCCCTGTGTTTCTCTCTCTTCGGTTCTTTCTTCTTCTCTTTCCCCAACTTCTTTCTTTCATCCCTAAATTCTTCTTCACACATCTTTTTCCTCAATTTTTCTCTTCTTCTTCTCCAATTCCTTTTCAAGCCATAACAGTTCCACTTCTTTCTTTTCTTATTTTTCCTCAATTTTTCTCTTCTTCTTCTCCAATTCTTTTTCACGCCATAATAGTTCTACCCGCTTCTTTCTTTTCTTCTTTTTCCCCCAATTTTTTCTTCTTCTTCTTCATCTCCAATTGTTCTTTGAAGAATGAAGAATTGGAAAAGAATAAGAAGAGAAAGAAGATGACAGGCGGAAGCGGCTGGAGCAGGGAAGAAAAAAGGAAGAAAAGAAAGAGAATAAAGAAAGAAGGGAAAGAAGAAGACTAGAAAGAAGGCATCAGGTTTTTTTTTTCTCCAATTTTATTTTTTTTCTATATCTATTTTTTCCTAATTTTCTTTCTTCTTTATTTTTTCTCTCTAATTCTTTCGTACACGGTTGCAACGAGCAACAAGTTCTTTTTTTCTTCTTAGATTGATTTCAAATCTTAATGTCAAATTGAATTTTTAGATTTTTGGGTTTGATAAAAATAAAAGAAAGTAATTCTGGGTTTGGTAAGAAAGAAGAAGAACAAGGAAGAAAATGAGGAAGAAGAAGGAGGAAGAAGAAGAACGAGGAAGAAGAAGAAGAACGAGGAAGAAGAAGATGTTGTAAAAAGTAGTCATTAGGGTATTTTAGTAATTTTATGCAGAAATATATCATTCTATGGACCAAAAATCGATTTTCAGGCGCGTGCTATACAACCTCCGTTAAATCCTAACGGATGGCGGATTTTTTGCAACATTTTGGAAACCACAAGTAGGTTTTTTGGAGTTTTAGAACCACGGGGGGTTTTCAGCAATTGTTGGAAACCACAAGGGGGGTTTTTGCTGTTTTGCCAAAATTATAAATTTAATTTTTATTTTTAAATTTTATTTTAAATTATAAAAATAAAAAGTTGTTTAAAATAATAGGAAAAATTGAATATTTGAAGAATAATAGTGAAAAATTGAGTTATGGTTGGAGTAAAATTACTGCAGCAACTGCATATTTGAAGTTAAAACTGGATAAATGGAGATGATTGGGTTGGAGATGGCCTAAGTATTTGTTTGTTCTGAAAGTTTAGGTAGATTATTTTTAAGATATTTCAATTCCGAAAGTTATGTTATATTATGTTTATCCAATAGTTTTGAAGGTCTATAAATATTGTAGCCACAGTTATTCGTTTTCAATAAGAGATATTCAGTAGGAATAAAATAGTCATCTTCGTCTTTGTTCTCCCCCTTCTGCTTTTGCTCTTTCTACTCTGCTTCTGCTTTTCTTCACACACACACACATACATATATATATATATACAACCGTAGGTTCACCTTTCATACACACGTTCACACAGTACACTTCATTGCACTTTCTTTTCTATTAACTATATATATATTTCTACTTAATAAAGTACACTGTTGTATACCCTCCTATGTAATCTTTTTTATTTTATTATCGGATATATATATTCCATTTTTTTTTTTTGTAGTCTGTTTATGTGTAATTTGATTTGCTTTCTTTTATTTTTTGGTAAAATTCACAGGAAATTTGCAATTTTGTGACAGAATTCAAAAGAGAATATATTCCGTCGCAATTTAGTGACAGTATTCACAAGGGAATATATTATGTCACAAAATTTGCAAAAGAAAGTATTCCGTCGTAACGAAATTTAGGATGTTTGTAAGAAAATATATTTCGTCGAAAAATATATAATTATATCAAATTTTCATACGGTGAATAAAAAAAATTCGTTGCAATATGCAATGGATTGTACAACTGATATACATTCTATGGAAATTTAGTCATACATTTATACAACGAATAAAAAAATTTGTTGCAATATTGCAATGGATTGTACCATTGATATACATTCTGTCGCAATTTAGTGGTACATTTATACTACATTTCGTTGTAATTCAGTCGACGAATAAAAAAATTCGTTGCAATTTTGCAATAAATTATACAATTAATATAAATTCCGTCATAATAAAAAATATTTCTCTACAATTTCACTCTCATCCTAAAATTTTATTATTATATATAATTTTACATATACACACACAATATAACCATTATTCGTACATAACCATCATTAGTAAAATCAATAATAATAATAATAATAATATAAAATTTTGTCCAACTTCACCCTAGCCGATTTCACCCTTCGACACCCCTCCCAAAAGCCGCCTAAGCCGTCGTTCTACGACTCAACCACCACCACCAGCATCGTCTACTTCCGTCTCCGGCAACATTGTCATGCCGTAATTTCAGAGTTGTTCACTTCTTCGAAAACTTATTTTCTTCCTTGTTGCTCTCATTAATTTGATTTGATTTTTATTTGTCGTGTGTTATTTGTTGAGGACTTGGTTTCACTTAAACTCGAATCTAGTTTTTGCTTTTCACTGCTAGTTCAAAAGTTATCCGAATTTTCCTTTAAACTTTTTGGTAGTATTGGTATGAATTGGTTCTACTTGAAACTTACTAATGACTTTTGATATTATTTTTATCTTTGCAGTCGGCCAACGGAAGAAGATACCCTGTAAGTTCCATTCTTTTTATTTATACATAATTTGATTTGTCTTCTTGCAAAGTTTCTACTTGACCTAGTTCTAAATTTGATACGTATCATAACATTTCCAATTAGTCTTTTCACTACGCAATAATCAAGTGTGTTATTAATATATTCTAGGTTCTTTGCTCGTAATGTTTATTACAATTGATATATTGATATCCATACCATGTACTATTCAGCTTTATTGTGTTCGCTTGGATCCATCACTCACCTATGGATTAGTTCTCAAAATAAAATATTGTGTTCCTCAAGCAATAGTTAATATTTCTTAAGAAAATTAAATATTTACAAAAAATTATGGTGAAATTGTTGTATTAAGCTCTGTGTTTTATGTATTTAATTAGTCTACTAGCATGATTGTGGGATTCCTTGGGAAACATTTATTTAATTATTATTTATTAAAATAAAAATAATAAAATTGTGGACTCTAAATAAATTATGTATAAATATAGCAATCTATTAAAAAAAATTATATAATTTTGATGGACGAAAAAGATATTAAATAGCGAAGAGTGAATGAAGCTAACCACTAACCATCAAGTGGTGATGTTGCTTGCTCGATTAAAACGGCTATATGGCGGACTATTACTCACTGATTCGATTAAGTCATCGTACAATCAATTATCAATTTTAAATAATTAATATTTTGTTTGTCTGCTTATTTTACAATACAATTTTCAATATATATTTTATTTTTTTACAAAACTCAATATTAGACTATTTACACAATTTCTATATCTTACTTAAAAATACTATTTTGTCCGGTTCAAATGGTTTCATTTATTTTTTGCGTGTTAATTTTTTTAATATTAATTATTATATCAAAGTATAGTACAAGTAAATAAAAAATTTCAAAAATACTTTCATTAGTGTCTTATAATACTAATAGATATTTGTACTACAAAATATAAGAATATTTTTAATATTAAATATAACGACGCAAAAGGTAAATGCGACTATTCCATTAGAGATGGACAGAGAGAGTATATTGTTTCAAATAATTTCAATAAAAAAACAAATTACTTGAATATTATTTTCTTCATCCTACCTAATTTGTTACTTTAGCTGGACACAGAATTTTAAATATTATTTAATTAATAAATAATTAAGAAGAATATTAATAAAGAATTATAATTCTTCGTCCAAGTGATTTTCTTTCTAGTCGTCTTTTACTTCTTCGGCTAGGTCAATTTCCATATAACTCATGGTTTGTCGTCGCGGAATGTTGTCGCGGATCGGCCTATACCGTTTCAAATACATTGCGACGTTTCGGTCAAATATAGACCAACATAATTTTTTTTATTTTTAAAATAATAAATAATTAAAATATATTAAATCATAAATATAATTATTTTTAAAATTATAAAATAATTTTAAAATCTTGTCTAAAAAATAATTTTAAATAATAAATTTATAATTAATTATAAATTATTCTAAAATATTAATTTTAATAGAAATCAATTTTTATAAATTAAATAAAAATGAAATACCATTCATACAATTAAATTTATAAATTAAATAAACAAATTAATTAAAATATTCCAATACTAATTCCAACCCAAAAATTAAGTAAATAAATCGATTTTATATTATTTTTACCAAAATTAAATTAATTGCGCTTAACACCCAAAAATAACATAATTATTTAGGTCATTTATCAAATTTCTTCGATTCAATTCTTCCTTTCTTCCCCGCACTCGTTTCTTCCCCAACCCTGCAAATCTTCTTCCCAACCCTGCAAATCTTCTTCCCAACCCTCCTTATCCACACGCACACCTTTCACTAATTTTTTCCTACTGTCCTCCCTTAATTCACATTTTCTTCATCGTCTCAAGTTTCAGATATGAAATGGAAGGAATTAAACGAGAAAGAGTAACAAGCACACTCTAAGAAATGAAAATTTGAGCGATTTCAGGAAGATTTTGGAAAAAATCTGATATTTTCTTCGTACCTGAAGAGTCCTGCCCGTGCCGGTTCCGGCGAACCACAAACACAACCCTAGCTTTTCTCAGTTATCCTGCAAAAATCTGGATTGTCGTGGTTACTTTGATGTCAATTCGAATCAATCCGTGCTAATTTTGGTGAAGCAGATTGAGAATGACACGGGCGGGGGAAATTCATTGGAGCGGTAAATCGTTCATCTCTTCGGTTTTAATTGAAATGTTCGAATGGAATTGATGCGTTTTGGTCCAAATAATTGATCCGAGTGTTTTTGTTCGAATGAGTTTTGCTGTTCTTCCTAAGCACGTAGCCGCGGTGATAAAATGGCAGAAGGATCCGTTGAAGGCGATGGATATGTTCAATTCTGTGAAGAAGGAAGAAGGGTACAAGCACACAGTGTTGACATACAACTGCTTGATTGAGAAGCTAGGTTTTAATGGCGAATTCGAGGCCATGGAGAAGATAGTGGCTGAGATGAGGGAAAATTTGGACAACAATTTGATGGAAGGGGTGTATGTGAGTGTGATGAGGAATTATGGAAAGAAGAAGAAAATTCAGGAGGCTGTGGATGTGTTTGAGAGGATGGATTTCTACAATTGCGAGCCGACGGTGATTTCTTACAATGTGATCATGAATATCCTTGTCGAAAACGGCTATTTCGATCAGGCTCACAAGGTATACATGAGGTTAAAGGATAAGGGGATTGCGCCGGATGTACATACATATACAATTAGGATAAAATCGTTTTGTAGGACAGGTAGGCCGTGTGCTGCGCTGAGGCTTTTGAACAACATGCCATTTCAGGGTTGCGAGTTTAATTCGGTGGCATATTGTACGGTGATTAGTGGATTTTATGAGGGGGACTGTGGAGGGGAGGCGCTGGGGTTGTTTAACAGGATGTTGAGTCTTTGTATCGTTCCTAAAGTTGCTACGTTCAATAAGTTAATCCACACGCTTTGTAAGAAGGGGAGGATTCGAGAAAGTGAAATGTTGTTGAATAAGGTTGTTAAGAGAGGTATCCTCCCGAATTTGTTTACATACAACATATTTATACAAGGTCTTTGTAAGAGAGGTCTTCTTGATGAGGCTGCTCGGGTTGTGGACAATGTGAGAGGAGAAGGGCTTTCTCCGGATATTGTGACATATAATACGTTCATAAGTGGTTTGTGTAGGTGCTCTAGAGTTGAGCAAGCAGAGGCGTATATGCATAAAATGGTTAATAGTGGTTTGGAGGTGGATGCTTTCACGTATAATACGATCATTGATGGTTATTGCAAGCTTGGTATGGTGCAAAAGGCGGATAAAGTTCTGTCTGATGCTGTGTTTAGAGGGTTTGTGCCGGATGAGTTTACGTATAATTTGTTGTTGTACGGGTTGTGTGAGGATGATGATATAGATAGGGCTGTGAGTACGTTTAGGGAGGCCGTTGGGAAAGGTATAAAGCCGAATTTGATTATGTACAATACTTTGATCAAAGGGTTTTGCAAGCGCGGCCTTATTTTGGAAGCTTTGCAGCTGATGAATGAGATGGAGGGGAGCGGGTGCAGGCCCGACACATGGACGTATAACCTGATTATAAATGGATTCTGCAAGATGGGCTGCTTGAATGACGCGACTATCCTTATAAACGGTGCCATCACTAAAGGATTTCGTCCGGACATATTTAGCTTCAACACGTTGATTGATGGTTATTGCAAGCAATCGAAGATGGGGGAGGCGCTTGCCATTGTTGATAGCATGTGGGAGCACGGAATTGGCCCGGATGTCATCACATATAATATCGTGTTGGATGGACTTTGCAAGGGTTCAAAATGTGATGATGTATGGGAAATATTTGAAGGGATGGTGGAGAAGGGTTGTATGCCGAACATTATTACTTATAATATACTTATAGAAAGCTTTTGTAAGGCTTGGAAACCAGCAAGAGCCTTGGAGCTTCTCGATGAAATTCAGCGAAACGGCCTGTGTCCGGATACAGTAACTTTCGCTACTCTGATTAATGGATTTTGCAGTAACAGGGACTTGGATGGAGCTTATGAGTTGTTTAGAAGAATGGAAAAGCAATATAATCTTTCGCCTACATTAGCAACGTGTAATATTCTCATCAATGCATTTTCCGAGTGTTTAAATATGGATTTTGCTGTGAAACTATTTCAAGAAATGGGCGAGAGAGGTCTTTTTCCAGATAACTACACTTACCGTTGTATGGTCGATGGTTTTTGCAAGACAGGAAACATCGATGCCGGATATCAATTGCTTCTAGAAAATGTCGCAAAGGGGTTTGTTCCATCCCTAAAAACATTCGGGCGCGTTTTAAATTGCTTGTGTGTGAAGAATAGATTGCTTGAGTCGGTTGGAATTATACACCTCATGGTGGACAAGGGGATTGTTCCTGATGTTGTGAACACGATATTTGAAGTGGATAAGAAAAAAGTTGCTGCGCCGAAAATTGTTGTGGAAGACTTGTTGAAGAAGTCCCACATTACTTATTATGCTTATGAGCTATTGTACGACGCTATTAGAGATAAGAAGCTATTGAGGAAGAACAGAAGATACAAAATCCTGTTTGGCTCGAAAAATGGCTCAAAATGAAGTATTCTTGTTGAATTGGAGATCGAAATACAGGGCTTTGATAGTGAGGCACTCCTGTTGTACGATGTCGTGCCTTTTCATTTCAATGCATATTATACTGATTTTTCAGTAATGTAATGAATGTTGTTTTGTGTGTTTCAGGTTTCGCTTATGGATGAAGAAGTTCACTGACAACTTTGCATCTAATGGCGTGGGTATATTGTTAGTAACTTAGTATGTGCTGAATGTTTATATAGTCGTCAAATATTTTTGAGAGTTTTAAGTATCTACTTTTTATCTCATTTAGACGCACTAATGTTAGTACTGAATCCAAATCTGCAGCGATAGGTGTTGGAGCTAATGTTGACCGTGGGACAACATATGTTGATCAAGTAGTGACTGCTAATGTTGCTAACGATTGTTTGTCAACAGTTGCCGAACCCTATCCCAGAGCAGGTCATAGATGAATTTGGCTGGCGCATATTACTGGATATGTGCTAAAGAACCTTCAATAAATGCTGCGTAAGCGTACTATAACTTTTATAGGTTTAATTACGTATGTCCTCTTTAGTGTGCCGTTATTTTTGAAACTCTTGCTTTCATAATCTTAAGCAGTTAATTTGTAAAATGGATGTTTGGCTGTTTCATATACATATGATAACTAACTAATTTTATGACAACTTTAATTTTATCTTTCATTCACCCACTGTCCCTCTGAAGCTTCTGTATTTCATGCATTTCTTTTGGTAGAACGATTATGATCAAGTTAATAAATATATTATGTGTATTCTCACCGCCATTCTATTACCATTTGTAGGACAGATTATTTTGTAACTACATTATTTCTCTCTCTTCAAGAGTCCTTCCTCGTGTAGGTTAAAGCTTTGATTAATCTTGAAACCCTTTCAGAAAATTCTCTGAGACATCAAATTACCACTGATCAAAATACTTATAGTTTGTATATCTATACTAATATTTATCCGTCATATTCTATATGCACTCATATTAAAGCAGTTTTGATAAATGTTAACTATGATGCAACCAAGTCCAAAGTTGTATTGGATTGCATTATCAAAAAAGGGGTTGATGGCTCCTAGCTTGATGGTTTGGGTGGAACTGATCCATGTTATGTACCGCATCAAGCTAAACATCTGTAGAACTGCTATGGTATTTTTTTTTTTGCACCGACCAAAATTTCCTGCTCTACTATTTATTTTTTGTTGTTGCTGCTTAGATGTCATTTTTATTGGTATATGAGTTTTTTCTTCGGGTGTGTTTGTTTGGGGGATTGAATTTTAAATAGACTATTCATCCAATTTTTTCCCCTAAAAAACATCAAATCAAACTACTATTTTTCATTTTTTATATTATACTAAAAATTAATTTTACATTCAAAACATCACATCAACACCTATTTATATCACATCATACAACTATTCAAATTCAAAATTTTTACTATTCAAATCCTAACTCGAAATCCAAACCCCCAAACAAACACACCCTTCAAAAACTTCTGGTTTTCTTTTTCCAATTTCTAATCACATAATGGAAGTTTGTAGTTAATTTTTAATATGGTTCTTACCTGTAGATGTGTTGCGCACTCATCTGCCAAACATTACACCTCCATCATACCGAGGCACAACCATACGGCATTTATATTATGTTAGGACTATGCTATCTGGACAACATTTGGTTCTGGAAAATGGGTCTACGCAAGGAGAGTCAATACAAGAATTTTCTGAGCTGGTTAGTGTGTGTTGACTTTTGCTTTCTGAAAAATGAACATATTAGTTGTTTTTTGCATTGCCAATTAATCATCTACCTGTTTGTTAGCAACTAGCACTAGCATTCTGACATGTTTTCTGATGTTATCAGACATGGAATTTCTTTCATAAGTTATTATCTTGAATTATGCACAAAACATAGGTTGGATATGCTAATCTGAATGTTACAAGCCAGCTATCCACAGACCTTAATGTCGATTGAGATATATGGACCCAAATTATTGTTGTTTGAAGAAATGTCTTTGCTATTTGTTTAGATGATGAATGATACCAAATTAATATTTTAGAGATGCTTGATAACAGTTACTTCTTTTAATCTTTCTTCCATGAACCCCTACTACTTGTAGTGATGTTGATTTCTGTAAACACCTTAGGAAGCTCAGATGCCCCTCCAGATTTGGGTTACTCAGAAGAACAATGGCCTCTGGGCGAAGAAGGTAGCTTTGATGGAAGTCAACTTCTTATGACTTGTCCTCTTACATTTTTGTGTGAGATTTCTATCTTGTTTTTGTTCCATCAATCTCTAATTGTTTTGGTAATGATTCCTGCGTGCTCATGTTGGAGCATTACTTAAGATTTTAGTGAAAGTAAATTGTCATGTTTCCATATTCCATTTTGATTCTGAATTTTATTTGCTCTGCCCAAACAACTTCCATTTGATTGTTTCTCACCTTGGTACAATCAGTTTCATGGAATACGCACATCAACATTCTGAGCAGTTGATCTGGAGTACATTCACTTAGTTGGATACATGTTCTTCCAGTCATGTCTAGTTTCCATTAGAATTTTAAATTGATTTTGGGCTTTATTTTGTGTCACAACTGTTTTATCAGGAAATGTTCCCCGAGTAACCTTCTTCTTGGACGTGTACTGGAAAGAAATGGATACTGATTCTGAGTGGGTATATTTCTATACATATGCTTCTTAATGTTGATTGATTTATGTTTCCCCTCCCCTTGTGTTTGTTTCCTACGTAGTTTGGGAAAGGGTAGCCTGGCACTAAACTTGTTTCTTTTGTTTTGATTGATTTTTCTTTGTAGGCTAAAATGAATGAAGCTTTTGATGGAGATGAGGAAAATTCTGAAAGTTCACGGGATGAGATCTTATCTGTTTCTAACATCAACCCTATGAAGGAAGACATGGCTAGAAATTTTGGGAGTTCGTTATCCCTGCAGTCATTTTCTGCAATGTCTTCAACTAGAGGTTCTCTAAATGTAGAAAGACGAACCAGCTTGTCCTCAATCATGGCTCTTCCTCGGATGTCTGTGGCTGAGGTCTTACATGATTCCTCTGGTAGTAAATTATCTTGTTATCCTGTAACTCTCTTTGCAACGTGGAAACTATTGATGGATTAGTTCAGATTTTGTATGAGCATGTTTGTTAGGGCAGGCGGCCTCTGTTGTAGCCTTGTGTTGATTAGTCACTCTTCACATTTTCTCATCATTGTCTGTCTGTTTACTCTTCAGATAGTACTCAAGCTACAGTATCTCCAAGCCAGCCACCAAAACACATGAAGTCCTCTGCTGATGATGATTCAAGATTACCATTTTCTTCAGGATCAGTTGAATCTGGAGCATGTAATTGTGTTCTTGACTTTCTCGCATTCCAGAATCTTTTTTTCTTTTTTTTTTTTTCATGTTTCTCGCACTCCGGAATTTGATTCATATTGTTAATTTTTTTCTCTTTTTCGGCAATTTGTTTGGACTAATTGTATCACAACATTCTTCTGCAGCAGAAGGGGTTGTTAGAGGAAGATCATACAATATCAGATTAGATGAACAAGTTCTACTGAGATTTTCACGTAAGTACTCCGACTCAACTTATTATTTCACTGATATGGTAGTGTATGATTTAGTGTCATTGTTATTTTTTGTTACTTTTTACAGTTTCACCCAATTTATCTTACCTCTTTTCCCATCTGTAAACAGATAGGTGGAACACTTACTTTCTTTCATGAAGAGGGAGCAAGGAGATGCCTTGAGGTACAGACACATGCCGTAATCTTGTGTGGCTATTAGCAGATGTTGATTATTTTTTACAGTCTTGAAGCTGATGGGATTCTTGGTGACATTAGGTGTCAGTAACTTTGGAGGCAAAGGAAAGTGTAAATAAGCGATTTGTTCATCCTTCTCGAAAGCATTCTCCTACCATTACCAAGGTGTAGTTATTTTCCATGAAAAAAGATAGTTCATGTTATGAATTATAGCTGCACCCTCGGGTTGGATGCTCAATTTTCTGAAATTAGTATCTTACATTTTGACCAAACATGGTTTCATTCTCTTGCATTGATGGAAGTTTAATAGGAACCTGAAATGATTTTCTGCAGCGTGTAGCCCAAATGCGTACTATAACATTTATTATGTTTTTCTTCTTTGTTAAAGTATTTTCCAAAATGCTACATGCTGAATCTTGCGTACCATATCTTTTGTTTATTCTTTGATAGTTGAATTTAGCCTCGGAGAAATATAAAATTTTTCATTTTGGTACTGCTTGAAAGTTGTGACAACCTAAGAGAACAAAATAAATGGCTGATCTTTCCCCTTTTAACTGTTCAGATTCATAGTGATCACCATGAGGTTGTGGGTGATGTAGTCCAAACCAGCTTTTTCTTCTCCATTCCCATGGATGGGCCCATGACTTTTTCCACCCCTTATGTCTCTGTACAGTGGGCTCTTAGATTTGAATTTCTTATAACTCCAAAGAATGTCGACTGGACAAGGTAATAACTTTTATAGATGTGCTTTGATGCTTTCATATGATACTATTTTATAAGATAAACTTTCTGGCTGAAATATTTATTTCCTTTTTCTGATGCATATTGTTTGGCCTTCTTTTTGTATTTCTGTTGCCTAACGTTTGATCATCCTCATTGGTGGTTAGCAATTTTATATTTAACATCATGTTATCTGGCATTGCTCCTTAAAATTTCAGGTTTGAGCATCCTCTTCTGATTGAGGGAAGAGATAAATGTGAGTGGGTTCTTCCAATCACCGTACATGTACCTCCTTTAGGGGCAGCAGCTTCTCAAACTCGAAACTTCTCTTTGGAACCCTTATGGGTTCATTATTGAAGGTAAGTAAAGCTGATTTTCTGATAATATATATATATATATATTAAATTTGTTCAAGCTCTACAGGAATTTCGTTTAGTTGCATACTCTATGCTCATGAATCATGCTTATCATTAACTTGCAAGCATAGAATCTTAGGAAGGCTAAACATTTGCTTTTACAGCCTCAGGGGTCTTTCTTCTGAATTTTGATCAAGTTGGAAGAAAGATGCTGCTAATGTTGGGAAGGGATGGATGTGACAAGATGTTGAATGCTCTGAGCGAGGGAGGGCAACAATTGTTAATGAAACAATGGGTATAATATCATTTCAATTATTGCAATATTTTGTGATATAGAAGGATGGGAGGCTCTTTTGAATTTCTCTTGTTGAATTGTCGGGTTTCCATTCGTAGATTTGAGAGAGATCCTCTGGTTCTTCTTCTTCAGCGGCTATTTTGAATAGATATGGTAGCGTTAGTGGTTTTGAACCGATACTAGTCTATCCAATTTCTATATCTTCACTCACATATTTACCAACTTCTTGAATTATCATATTTTACAAGTAATTAAAGGTGTTCGTCATGGATGCTTCATTGTTTCTTTCTGTGGTATCACGAATTTATTGAGTTTCTTTTGGTGGCGATGTTGTTGGAGTTTTGGTAGGCAAAACATCACTGTATGTATCTGTTGGTAGAATCAAATTTGTAAGATTGATTAGAACTTTGATTTTGGAATTGCACAGCCTCTACCGGACTGTGTCGTTTGTTGCTTATATGTTTTCAATTGAATCTGTGTTGTTACTTTACTGTCTTTTGGGTGTTTAAGCTCGTCTAGTCCAAGTTCATTAATAATATTTCGTATGTTTTTTCTAAGCAAAAATATTTTGTACTGTATTGAATAATTCAACTGTTCAAAAAGCCATACATAAACATTGTGCGCTTTTTTCTCTATCCATTGTTTTCTACCATCACATCAAGCAGGGTAGGGTAGGGTAGGGAGGCGCTTTGGTTGTTATGCCGATGTATATAATAATCTCTGAGTCTTAAAACTATGGTGTTAGTTGGCTTGGTAAGGCGATTTAAGAAATATTGATATTATATTGATAGTCAGGTAAAAAATATGAATAAAAGATTTTTTTGCTGCACTAGTATAAAAAATAATGGCATTTGTGTAATAATAATAAAAAAATAAGAATAATTTTATAGTGATATAAGTATTTATAAAAATGATATTATTGTTTTGGGACGGACAAAAATGATAAAGAAGATATGTAACACATATTTTAGCCATATGTTTAGAATTGCATGTAGTAAAATATATTGTGGTTTTGTTAATTGTGTTTTTGTTAATATGTAACACATATTTTAGCCAATCTAATTTTTCTCACTTAAATTCGTTTCAACATTGCTTTTAGTTTCATAAATTAAATTTTCAAATTTATTCTTAACATGCTGCCCAATAGCAACATTAATTTGAAAATCACCAATGCAAATCTCATTTTTCTCATTTAAATCCGTTCCAACATTGCTTTTAATTTCATAAACTAAATTTTCCAATTTATCCTTAACATGCTGCCCAGCAGCAACATTAATTTGAAAATCAACAACAAAAATTTCGATTTCACTATTTTTATCAAACCTTAATATAAGGAAACATCAACGATTTCAAGCCTAAACAACATCACGGACAAATTACACTGCGAACAAACAAAAGGCACAAATCGAGAACCCAAACCGCAGAATCACCAAGAGAAAGTCGTGCATCAACAAGAAATGAGAACCTCCCAACTCGCCAAACTGATTAACCAGAGAACGCAAACAGAGATCGTCGGAATCACCTAAGACTTGAGAGAGAATCGCAACGTGGAACCTGTTCTTAGGCTGTGAATGAATGAATTGAATCGGTTTAGAGATCATCCATATATATATATAGATCAGGCCAGACCAGTTTAGACCAACTCGGTTCAACCAGGCAGCCTGAGATCCGATGAGTCTCACAAAGACCGGATCCGGTAGGGGGTTGTCGGGTCCGGGCTTCAATTTGGGCGGGTCGCTTGTCTGTATGTTTTAGGCCTCAATAATCATTGGCCAAAATATATAACAAATCTTCACCTTATTTTGGGCGTGGAAGATGTTTTACTCGGGTGTCATCACTCTCCGACCGTCATTGCTTCCAAGTATTTTAGTTCAATTTTAAAAGTTCGTTTTAGCCAAAAGTTGAATTACTATTCCAAAAAAAAAAAAACATTTGGAATCAAGTTAGGTTTAAAAAATAATATAGAAACCTATTATGATACATAATGCAAATTTAAACCTACACACAAGTAGCACCGGCTAATTAAAAGTATCAAATCATACAATTTTCATACAAGATACAAACATTTTAGTTTTTCAAAACATTGTATCTTCACTAACAGGATTATATTCAAATTCAACTATTAACAATGCTAATAAACATTGTAATTGTGTCTTGCAAGAAAGCATTTACCATACAATGTACTACAACAAAAATATTTACCACACAATGTACAAACATAAAGAACAACAAGCTTTCTAGTGCACATATCATTTATAATTAATGATAATAAATCACAATCAAAGCAATCATAATATTTAGGATCTAAATTCAAATTTTCATTTTTAAGGAATGAGTTCATATCTTCTTTTAGAGCGTAAAAACATTGACAGTTATACAAAGAATTACTTGTCTCCCTAAAAATAGTAGGTTCATTCATATATAAGTCATCGAACATACAATAAGTTAAAGAAGATAAATTCAAATTACCAAACATAGAGAACAACGTAGGAGTGTTGCTAACCTCATCTCTAACAAATAGGTAATTTCTAATCTCATTCTTCTCATTTAAATCCATTCCAACATTACTTTTAATTTCATAAACTGAATTTTCAAATTTATTTTTAACATGCTGCCCAACAGCAACATCAATTTGAAAATCATCAACAAAAATTTCAATTTCACTATTTTTATCAAACTCCATAATATGAACACAATTGTCAAAATCTGAGATAACAACATTTTCTTTTAAAAAATCGGAGTGTTGCTCAACAACAGTTTTCACACTCAAAATAAAATCAGAAGTAATATCAGCATTAACTAAAAGTAACATAATGCACGCAATTTGATTAACAAGTATCATCTACATGTATATCACAAAACTACACATATTTTATCATCAATAATAACTTTTTGATTTCAGAAGATTGGCAATGAAAAACAGTATTATCACTTTCAACCTCATAAACAAATTCAACGTCAATTTGCACAATATCAACATATTGAACACAAATTTTAGATTCAAGATCAATGTTTAGAGGTTTATCATCACAAGACTGCACATTTTTAGAATTAATAACCAATTCTCAACTAACAACAGACTTAGAACAACGTACATAATCATTTTTGTCCTCAAAATCAACCTTTTAATTTTTAAAAATAGTCTGACTTTCAGCAACAAAACAAACATGAGTATTAGTTTCAGAATCAATATCAGCAATTTCAAAGTTATCAAATTACACACTTTCAGATTTACAATTAATCTTATGCTCGACAGGACAAAAAACATAATTAAAGTGTTCAGTTTCTCCATCTTCTACAGCAATTATATCATGTTCCACCTTAATTCGAGTATTATTAAAATTTTTATTTGTTTCACTAAATTCATAAACAACAAATTCAGATTTTTAAACATTCAAACATGGCATATAATCTTCATAAAATATCACATTATTACTAATAACAGTTTTAAATCCGGGTCTAGAATAAAGCCACAATCTATACCCTATAACACCATAACCTAAAAAAACACAATGTTCAGTTTTCAAATCAAATCCATCAGTGCAAACATGTATTAAAGCAGAACATTCAAACACACGAACATTAGAAATGTCGACTCTTCTACTCAATCATTTACTTTCAGGACATACAACTTTAAAGGGGATAAAAGATGATCTATTTATCAAATAAGATGCTCTAACTACAGCTTCACCCCCAAACATTTCCGATAAACCGGATAATGTCAAAAGACTTCTAACCCTTTTCCAAAATGGTCCAGCTCATCCTCTCGGCCACCCCACTAAATTGGGGTGCCATGGGACATATTTAATCATTTAAATACTATTTTGTACACAAAAGTTATCAAACCAAGTGTTACAAAAATTTAAACCATTTTCAGTTTGAAAACATTTAATTTTTTTGCCCGTTTCTGTTTCAACTTGAATTTTTCAATTTTTAAAAATCCCAAAAACTTCATATTTATTTTTCATTAACAAAACCCAGGTTTTTCTTGAAAATTAATAATAAATGGTTAGAAAATATCTACAACCATCAAAAGTAAAAACACAAGAGAACCTCCACAAATTAGAATATATAAATATATATGGGTAAACTACTTTTTTAGTTATGTATTTGACCCCCTTTATCATTTTAGAGCTTTAAGTAAACCCTGTCTGAAAATAGTCTTGTAAGTAATTTTTTTCCGCTAAAATGGTCCATCGGTACCGGACTTGCCACGCTGGTTGCCGTTGCTGACGTGACGCTGATGCAGCTGACATGTCATCGCCACATAGATGCCACGTCAGAGGACCATTTTAGCGAAAGGAATTTACTTGCAGACTATTTTCTGACATAGTCCATTTAAATGTCCTAAAAATGATAGAGGAGGTCATATACGGGACTAAAAAAATAGTTTACCAAGACATTTTGTAAAATAAAAAATAAAAAAATTCCACGTGTCGTTGATGTGGCATCTACGTGGTGATGACATGTCAGTCGCGTTAGTGTCACGTCAGCAACGGCGGGCCGGCGTGGCGAATCCGGCACCGGAGGACCATTTTAGGGAAAAATTTTTACTTACATGACTATTTTCAGACAAGGTCCACTTAAAGTCCTAAAATGATAAAGGGGTCAGATACGAAATTAAAAGAACAATTTACCATATATATTCTAAAATATATTTAGAGCATTCACGTTTTTCAATATGAGGTAAAGGGAAATGGACTTTAATGTGTTTATTATCTGCACAACTAAAAATATATCATTGTCAAAATATCCAGATTTTTGTAATATTTCTAAACCTCTGTTGCCTAAATGACCTAATTGCTTATGCCACAAAAATATTTTATTTTCAAAAATAGAATTAATAAAATTAACAAACACAGTCATAAGATTTGCTTGCGTCACATAGAAATTATTTTTCATTTAAGCTTTACAAACAACTAAAGATCATTTTATAATTTTCATAAAACCAGCCTCCTATTTACCATGAAAAATTTGTTAGATTTTTTAATCCAATTTATTCAACGAAACATTTTCAACAAGTGCAAAAGTACTTTTTTTTTTATATCATAATTATGCCCACATATGAATATAAATACTGTACTTTCATATATAACCTGTTTGTTTTATATATATATATGTGTACCCTTAGTAGTAACCAATATACTCCATACACATAATTATATACCTTTACAATATGTGCAACAACTCCGCGTAAATATTTAAATATTCCCTATTAACTAATGTAATTTATGTTGATGTTGTCTCGATTGCACGCAATTGTGACG